TTTTTGACTGCCAGTTCCCATTGTTGACTCATATTGAGCTGTATCCGCTAACATCTCTAGGTTTCTTCCCCATGAATTGTTGTCTAGACATGCCTTCCCCATCCCATACATGTGCAGTTGACTTATTTGAACTTAAGTGAAGGACTATTCAATTGATTAGATTTAGCTCTTCATTCTAAACTGTTAAAGTCTTTTGGGACTTAATTCTATCACTCGAGATGATAACTTTCTTAGATTCACTCCAAACTTAATTCCTCTGTCTTATAAGATATTAATAATTTTAAGATTTATTTAACTTATAAATAATAATGATGTCTCTTAAGGATTGCCTTACTCCCTTTCCCTTTAGCTTGTTTTTCTTCTCTCCCCCATTCTGTGAAATACCCATTTGAAATATTTAGTAATTTTGCTAATGATAATGCAATGATAAACCCATTTCATGAACAGCTAGTTTATCTTAATTTGAAAAGAATGAATAGAGTCTCAGCATTGAAAGAAACTTTTGAGGTCACACAATCTAAAGATCTAATTTACAATATACCTGACAAATGCTCATTTAATACTTGAAGACCTTTAATAAATGGGAATTTATTGCCTTCAGAGGGAAGACATTCCATATTGGGATATTTTTAATGGTTAGGAAGTAATTCCTTACATCAAGCATGAATTTTAAATTTCCACTCATTGCTGTCTTTTGAGGTTAGACAGAACAAGTCTAATTCTATATGATAGTCAATCAAATACTTAAAGATGTTTAGAATTCTCTATACTTCTTACCTAGTCTTCTCTTCTTCAGAATAATGGGCCCTCTTCTCTCTCTCCCCTACTTCACTTGGTGATCTCAACAGCAACCATGGATTTAATTATCATCTCTGTACTGACAATTCTCAAATCTAACTCTCCTGATTCAACCTCTTGCTGACCTCCAATCTTTCATCTCCAGCTGCCTTTGAGACATCTCAAGCTTGATGTCCAGTAGACATCTCAAACTGTTGTTCAAAATGGAACTCACTGTAATCATTCCTCCTCTATCTTCCCCCTCTCCTACTTTCCCTATTACCATCCTCCTCCTGATTCCTCAGGTTTGCAACCTAGGAGTTAACTTCAGCTCTTCACTATCTCTCACCACCCCATATTCAATCTGTTGCCAATGCCTGTCTATTTCACTTATGTATCATCCCTTCTTTCCTCTGATACTGCCACTGCTCTGATGTAGGACCTCATCATCTCACACCTGGTCTATTACAATAGCCTACTTGTAGGTCTTCCTGCCTCAAGTCTCTCCACTCCAATTCATCCAACATTGAGCCACCAAAGTAATTTTCTTAAATCTCAGGTTCAACCATGTCATTCCCCTATTATTGAACTCCAGTGGCTCCCTGTTGCCTCCTGAATAAAATGCAAAATGCTCTGTTGGGCATTCAAAGTCCGATGTAACCTAACTCCCTCCTATCTTTCCAATCCTCTTAGACCTTACTCTTACCATGTATTCTTTGATCTGGTAACTTCGTGTCCTGGCTGTTCTACAAATAAGATACTCCATCTTTTGGCTCTGAGCATTTTCTCTGGCTGTCCCCCATGCCTGGAATGCTTTTCCTCCTCTGTTCCAACTACTGGCTTCTTTTAAGTTCCAAATAAAATCTCATCTTTTAGAGGAAATCTTTCCTCTGAATTTCAGTGCCTTCTCTCTGTTAAGTAGTTCCTATTTACCCTATTTATAGCCTACTTTGTATATATTTGTTTACGTGTTGTCTCCCTCATTATATTGTAAATTCCTTAAGAGCAGGGACTGTCTTTTGCCTCTTTTTTATATCCTTAGCACCTGCCACAGTGCCTGCCCCGTAGTAGATGCTTAATAAATGTTTATTGATTGATTGATACTTATATAGTGTGATTGTGAAACCCTCCACCATTTTGGTCACTGTCCTCTGGATGCTCTCCAGGTTATGTGTGCTTTCTAAATGTGTCAGCTAGAATTGAATAAAATATTTAAGATGTGGTTTTACTGGGAAAGGGTACATGGAAGCTATCACTTCCCTAGTCAATTAAATTAAATCAAACAAGCATTTATTAAGCAGTGCCAGGTATTTTGCTGGGTTCTAGGGATTAAAAAACAAAAACAGTTCTTCCCTTCAAGGAGCTTTACATTTGACTTGGTGGAAGAGAAGGGGAGAGGTAGTTCTTAATTCAACCAAAAATTGAATTAACTTTTTGGGTGTCATATCACATTCTTATTTTATGTTGAGTTTTCATGAAAATGCCAACTCTTTTTTCAGGTCTGGGAAGCTTGATTGTTGTCAACATAATCCCTTCAAGGGCACATATCTTTCTCTAAAGACTTCACACTCATGACCTCAATTTTTTCAGTAAATTAGGAAGCTTGGAGATAAGATAATCTGCTGAGAGGAAGCATTTGAAAACTTGTGAATAGAGAAAATTTGGAACAGCTACTGTGAAAAGTATGATAGACAGTAAATCAGTGATGAACAAAAAATATCTATAGTAGTGATGAAATAGTTGAGATTAGATAATGTGAATTTGTAATGGTTTCAATCAGTGTGATTTCATGACTTCCTCTATCATCCTAATGGAGACTGAGGGGTAAAGTTCATGAATTCTGGTGCAGGTGATTTTGGTCATGTGTTTCCATAAATGGCTTCTAGAATATTTAGCTAACATTCTGGAGATTTCTCTCTGGTTCTTTTAACATTTCTTGAATACTGGCATATTACCAAGTGTTTATTTATCTTTAAGAACTTTTGTTCCATAACTGATATAACTCTCTTCCAAGTAATATATGTCCTTGGTGGTGTCTTTATGCCAATTCAAAAATTTTTAGTATTATGCTGCAGTTTACTTATACCTACCTTGTGGCTATCCATTGTCATTTGTGCCATTGTCTTTTGGGTCACCTGTATTGGTATTGAACTGTTCATATTGAGAGGCAGCATGGTACAGTAGAAAGAGCAATGGATTTAGAGTTGGAAGACTAGAATTCAAATTCTACCTCTGTCACATTTGCCACCTATATGACCTTAGGCAAGTCACATAATATCTCTGGGCCTCAGTTTTCACATCTGTAAAATGAGGAGGTTGTTTTAGATAGCCTTTGATGTTCCTCCCTGTTCTAAATTTATGATCCTATGATTCTATGAACTATCCAAGGATAATGCTAGGATAGTAAAGGAGTGAAAGACATATAAAATATCTGTATTATCTTCGCACCTTTCCATTTCTGGTGGGCACTGGTGTGATATCTTCTAATGTTGGTTCTGGAGAGCTTATTGGCTCCTATGGGACTGTCCTTGGTTTTCACCTCCCCTCCAGTGGTAATTTACAGCATCCCCCATCCTATTCGTACTGCAAGTTAACACTCTGTGTTAGAAGTAGAATATAAATAACTGAATGAATGAATGAACTAATACTTTTGGATTTGCTGTGTTAGTTTTCCTTAAGAATCACTGATTCTTTGTTGTTTCCTATCAGTCCTGCTCTTTAAGGTATCTGTTATGAGAGATAGATAGCATGGGTTAGTTGATAGGGCATTGGACCTTAGGAAGATCTGGGTTCAAATCTTGACTCAGGCATTTATTTATCAACTATGTGACACTATGCAAGTAATTTTGTTTCTCTTTACTTCAGTTTTCTTATCTGTAAAAGGAGGGACTCAGTGGCCTTTAAGATCCTTTCTAGTTTTAAATCTACCATATTATTTTTTTTTAGTGTGTATTACTAGTTTACTGCTATATTTTTATTCTTTCATCAAAACTCATTTCCTCGTTTATAAAATAAAGGAGTTGGGCTCTTTATAATCTCATTGCTAACTCCACAATTCTAGGTCTCAATGATTCTAATGGTGTGTTGTGTTCATTTTTTTTGTAGGAATTATTTTTTCCTTTATTTCTTTGAAAGTACTGAATGTGACTTTATTTGCATTTGCCTATGAGCTTAGTTGATGTTGGAGTTTTTGCCATTGTACTTATCTTCTTGTTTCTACTAATCTATGTTGCAATACTTGCTGATTGAACCTATTTTTTTTAATTTTAAGATTTTTCATTGATTTTTAAAATTTTCTTCCTGCTTGTTTCAATTTGTTTTGTTTTGGATATTGTTATTGGTGTGTGAGTGTGTGTGTGTGTGTGTGTGTGTGTGTGTATTTGTGTGTATGAGAGAGAGATAATCAGGGATTAACTAGGAGGAAGCACATTGTACTGTTATTTTAGTGTTTTCTAATCTTCCTTTGAATGTTATGAGGATAGAGAATAGATGAAGAAATTCAGTCTGGAAAGTCAAATAACAAGAAAGGATATGATTGAAATTTTAAAAATCATGAAGAATATAGGTTGATTGAACATGAATTTATTTACCTATTCTCCTCACAGTAGAACTGAAAGAGCTACCTCTTTAAGTTTGAAACATATATTTTCAAGCTAAATAAAGATGTTATTTTATATATTGGGTTCTAAAGCTCGAGGTCATACAGACTAATTGAAATGCAATCAAGAAGGTTTACGTAAATTTATGGATAATAATTCTATATGAGATTATATTAAAAGAATAAGCACCTAGCACAGTGCCTGTTATGTAATATTTGGTAGTAAATGTTGAATTAAATGTTTGAATTAAGCTAAGGATTGAAGAATATTAGCTAGTATTAGAAGGAACCTTATATATCACCTAGCCTATTTTTTTTTCTCAGTTGAGGAAACTTAAGCCCCAAAAGTAAAGTATTATGCTTAAGGTCATGTAGTAAGTTAGATCTGGGACCAGAATTTTGGTCATTTGAAATAACTAAAATTTTTTTGGGCTGACATCATGAAGAGTAGATGTACTTGCCCCAAAATGACCCTTTGTGATTCCCTCACAGATAGAATGCTAGACTGCATAGTTCATTCACCTATTGATTTGACCCAGTTTGATATTTTAAGATGTTCTGTGTATCTTTAGTCATGCTGCATTTGTATTCATTTTTTAAACTTAATTTTTTATATTAATAATAGATGAGTATGAAAGGGAAGAAACTAGACAACTATATTCAAATCTAAATAATAATATTGAGGTAAGTTGTAGAAAAACTTAAGAATTTTAAATTTAGAAGTGAACAGATACTTTCCTAATACAAAGCAGTTTGGTTATCAGGAACATATGGACAATTATTCATTTAAAAACTTAGTCATTTTATAAGTAATTTGGTTAGGTGAAGGTTTGTTATTTTTTAAAAAATGTTAATTCCATCAAAATTTCCATTAGCTTTTAAATATCAATTCAATTAACAAGTTTAATAGCTATTTAGTGACTCTACAATGCCATATATTGAGGATAGAAAGTAGAAAAGAAACAGTTTTTGCCCTCAAGAATTTAGAATTTAGTAGGGGTGTTAGAGGTAATGTATCCATAAGTAAGTATAAACAAAATATATAAAGTGTGGAAACAAGATGATTTGGGGCAATGGAAGGTACGAGTAACGGTGTGTGTGTGTCCGTGTGTGTGTGTGGGGGTGGTTAAAAAAGTCTTCATGTTGAAGATGCTGCTTTTGTGAGTGAGACAGGAGGTGTAGACACTGACTATAAATATATTTTTCAAGGATTTTAGCTGAGAAGGGAAGGAGAAATAGAGGATGATACCTAGTAGGGATAATAATAAGATAAAGTCAGGGTTTTTTTGTTTTAAGGAAGGGGATACATGGGCACCAGAGATAAAACTTGTTTACTTTGTTATTTATTTTGCGTAAGTACCTGGTGGTAGTACCCCCAATAACAGCTGGTCCAAATAAGATTTTAAGAATTCTGTCTTTATCATTTCTTAAAGGCTTCCAAAATTTTATTTATATGATCACTGTTAAACACAGATTATGTTTATTTGTATATCCTGTGGTCTTATATTTAAATCTGGGTCATTTTCTACAAACTGTCATATTTCAAGATTCCAAATATAATCTTTAAAAGTTATATTTTGTATTGTAGAAAATGGTACAAGCTTTTGAAGAACTTCGAGTAGGAGCTGAAAGTCGCAGACAAGAAATGCATTTTAAGTGTAAGGATCCTGTTTAATATTTATAATGCTCTTCTTGTAGCAGTTATGTCATAAGAGAAGATATGAGATGCAATATATAATTTAAATATGAATTTAGGGGATATAGATTATCAATTGATACTATCAATAAATTTTTTACTTTAAAGTTTTACTTTGAAGTTTATTGATTTCTAGTGCAATATACTTATTACTAGATTAAAAATATTTTTCTGATTATTGTCATTATAGTATTCTAATTAAAATATATAAATTATTAATATATGTACATTCAAATAAGGCATACCAGTTTTATACCAGAGATAGTTATAACATTCTGCTTATTAAAGAATTGAAAAGAATAACATTTATTTTATAGAATATGTGCTACCAAGATAATTTTGACAATTTCTAAAGTAACTCTAATTGTTTTCATTTCAATAAGCATTTATTGTAATATTTAATATTAAATACCTATTATAATATTTAGAGTATATAGCATAAGTTGATACATGGCAAGTATTATAATAAGATATGCAAGCAAAGCTCAATATAAGGAGCAAGGTAGGGAAGATCATTACTGACAGGTGAAGAATTACAAATCTTAATGCACTATGTTAATATGAGCAGTTATTATTCAAGGTGACAGTAACAATTGATTGTGAATTTCTGGTATTTAACATGGTATTTAACATAAAACCAAAATGTGTAAGTATGTAAAGCAAAAGCTTGTGAACTCTAATTATTGAGATGAGAATGGGAAATTATCCACATATTTAAAGTCTTTGAAGCATATTTTAATTTTATATCTTGAGTAGATTTTATTTTATCTCTAAAGTAAAGGAAGCATGTGAAAAAATTCAACAACTTGAAAAAGAACACCTAAAAGAAGTCCATGATAAGGAAAAGAAGGTTTGTGGGTTTTTTTTTTTTAAGCAACTGTATGTTATTTATGAAATGTGAAATCCCTTCCCTTTCCCTTGTCCGAAATCACTTGGAATTTATCTTCCAACTATTTAATTTGGTTTGATGGAGAAATTTTAATAGAATGAAGATTTAAAACATTTTTTAAACTTCCATTCTAATGGATTTTCCAGTCCTTGGCCCACAAATGTTCATAGGCTCACAAAACTTCCATTACGTTTATTTACTAATGCTTTCTTTATTTGCCTGTGGCCATTTCCTACTTTCCTTCCTAACAATGGGATAATAGAATATTCTCTATAGAAAACACTTGATTGTTCCATAAACCTACTTTTCCATGAAAACTGAATTAAAAAATTGTTGGTTCCTCCACATTTTTGAAAGATCACACCAAATTCATATGATATGAGATTATCTGCTCTACTTTTGACAGAGCACACTCTAGCAATTAGTTGTCTAGGCAAGTGCAGATCCACATCACTACTATACCATGCCTTCATGCCAGGATTATGATTTATTTGGAAAACCTCTCATTTTCTCTGTCAAAATGGTTTTGAAAAATCACTTCTGTTTCTCACTCCATTGATTTTTAACCAGATCGTCTCCACTATTCAAATAATTGTTATCAGTTTTGGTTAGGTGTACTCCATTCCTGTCTAGGAACCTGTCATTCCTTCATTTTTAGCAATGGTTCAGAATTCCAAATCCCATTTTCTCAGATACAACCTTCCACGTCAGTTTTTCTCTTCTGTATCTCTTGCCTTCAATTGATAGAAGTGATGAGAACACCAACTGGTCCTGTCTAGAATTTTCTTTGTTTTTTTGGCTAGGCAATGAGGTTAAGTGACTTGCCCAGGGTCACACAGTCAGTAAGTGTCAAGTGTCTGAGGCTGCATTTAAACTCAGATCTTTCTGACTCCACAGCCGTTGCTCTATCCACTGCGCCACCTAGCTGCCCCTAGAATTTCCTTTGTTGTCCAAAACTTTGTAATCTTTGGCAGGCCTTTCTAAATATCCACAGATACTCAACTGTGGATAACTGAAGTTTTATATCTATCTCATATCATCTCATCTAATCTCATCTTGTCTATCTATGTACATATCACTATTTAAATGGTTGCATCATAATTATGATCACATCATCACATGGGCAATGAGGTGGATGGAGTGCCCAGGATGGAGTCAGGATGACTCATCTTCCTGAGTCAAATCTCTGTCCTCAGACACTTACTAGCTGTGTGACTCTGGGTGAGTCACTGAACTCTTTACCTCAGTTTCCTCATCTGTAAAATGAGCTAGAGAAGGAAATGGCCAACCACTCTAGTATCTTTGACAAGAAAACTCCAAATGGGGATAATGAAGAGTTGGACATGACTAAAAATTACTGAACAACAAGAAAAATCGCTGGGTGTTCTGGGAACTCAGGCTTGTTTATTAATCCTTTACCCCTGAGGGGCTATGGAATCATAGATTATCAAAACTAGAAGAGACCTTAGTCTAAGCCTTTCATTTAGTAGATGAAGAAACAGGTTTAAAGTGTTGAAATAATTTGGTAAAGGTCACATAGCTAGTAAATGACGTAATTAAGAAATTGAATCTACCACTTTTGATTCCAAGTCCAGTACTCTTTCTACCACATCACACCTGAAAGAGACTTCTCTTTGCTTCTTTAGCTAGATAGTTATTATACCCTAGAATAAAGAGGAGACTTAGACTATTTTAAAATTTATATAGTATTTTTCCTTTTTGGCGTTCAGCTGAGTTCAATGAAAAAAGTTTGGATTATTTTAGTAGATGACATTTTAGAAATCTACTTCTTTTCTACCTGATTCTTTTTGTGTGTTTGTTTAACACATACACACATATACATACATATGTATATATATATACCCACACATATATATAATGATTTGTATATAGAATTCATAGTTGTACAGAAAAATATTAAATATTTAATATAATTAGCAATTGATTCACTTCTGTAATCTACTTTATCTGAAAATTCAAAAGGAATATGATTGCATTAAAATTTGAATTGTCTAACTTTTATTTTAGCTCACTTTAAAAGGATTCTTTTAAATATTTGATGAGTATACATAAGGACTAATTTCACTTTTAAGATTTGGGGATTAAAGATTTGAAAATAAAGAAAACTTTATGTTAAAATATTGATACATAGAATTTATTTTTATTTCATTAGGTATCACTATTATTGATGCAGAATGATGAGAAAGAAATGAAAATTAAAGAATTAAAATCTCTGCTACAAGAATACAGTGATAAAGTTAATCAATTTCAAGAAAAAATGAGTAAGAATTTTAATACTGAAATTTTATAATATGTATCCAGTTCATAACTAGTATAAGGCTTTTTAATTTTGGAATTCAAGACAGGTACATGGATTATGAAATACCTTTCAATGGGAATTTTACCAAATCTATACAAGCTGTGTTATAGTCTAAGAAATGCTACAAACTATGGTTCCTGAAAATGGGTTGTTTGACCATAGGCAATATTATTGTATGTCAAATTAGTTTATTGTGAGAAGTACTTAAATATTTTTTCTCTACATTAAATTCATTAATTTTATAAGAAATAATGAATAGTTTAATTCTAAATGAAATTAAATTTTAGTAAAATCACTAGAGAATTTATGGCATTGATTACAGAAAAATTTTCAATTGTAAATTCTTAGCTTAAGTCTCTTTGCAGATGTTAGTTAAACATATCAGAAAAGGTAATATGTAATGTGCACAGAACTGACTGACATCAGTTTAAAAGCATGTATTCAGTATCTGCTGTGTGCCAGGCACTGTGCTAAGCACTGGGGATTCGAGGAAAGGCAAAAAACACTGCCTTCTCAAGGAGAGTACATTCTCATAAGGGGAATAAGATATAAATAACAGGCTTTTAGAAGGGAGAGATCTCTGAATGATGTGAGATGAAGAGGGGGAAAAAGAGAAACTCTTGGCGAATGGTTTTATTTTTTTCAGTAAAGTATGAAGTGAGCTTGCTATATAATCTGTTCCCAGGTTTTGTTTCTCTTTTATGCTTACAACCTATCAGTCCTATAAATGATTATTGCATTTTTTTTGGTGTGTTGTATTGCATCTCACTTTTCTCAGAATAATAACAGCACACTTCTTTGGCCCTTTAAGCTGTAGAAAACATCTTCTTCACAAAAATAATTCTTTCTGGTAGGTAGTGTAAGTTTTACTATCCTTACATTATAGATAAGGAAATATTCAGAGCAGAGAAGTGACTTGCCCCAGGTCCCACTGAATAAGTGTCAGAAATAGGGTATATACTAGGTCCTTGGTAAATTCGGTACCCTTTCCATTGCATCTTGCTACCTTTCTAAGAAAATTCACTTTTTACTTTTTCAGAGAAAAAGTTTTCCTAGTGAAAATGATTGGTTGGTTGTTGTTGTCCTTTGTTCTCAAAGAGGACCAAAATGACAATCACTGTGTTGAGGTCAAAGTACAGTGTATCTGACTGTGGCTGATCAGACCAATACGAGATTGGAAGGCTCTACCACAGGTTGGGCACAAATAGTTCATATGAACTTTTGGAGTGAAAGTGTCTCTAAATTTGTGCATCTCACATTTCTTTCGAGGTACTGCAGTTTTTGCTCATTGAGTATAGCACCTTATTTGATGCAGGTACGCTGTGCTGGATAGTTCTGTGCCAATGTCTCCTATGTCTCACAATTTATTCCAAAGTTCTTCAGAGAGACCTTGAGAATTCCCTTGTGACACTTCTGATCTCCATGTGAGCTCTTGCCTTGTGTGAGTTCTTATCTGCTGCTAGGAAAACTGAGAGGAGATGGGACTATGTAGACCAGGAGTTTGGTAACTTATGATATACAGAAGAGATATGACATAGGGCGTGATTTAGAGTATCTTGTGTTATAGAGAGAAAGGTCTTCACATATGTGTTTGGGGTTACCCTTCTCTCAGAGGCCACCTGCTTTGGGGAGCCTGAGATTTCAGGGAATGTTTTTGTAGTTTCTCTTCCACTCATATATTCTTTATGACAAAGCTGTGAAATTACAAATAGGAGCTTCAATATCTAAATGACCAAGAAAAGCTTATTTATTAAATCTCTAGTTTTATACCAGGTGTTTTATAATTGTAGTATAGGGATATGAAATGTCTTAGTGGCTACATTGTTAAAATTTACCATAACTTTCTGTTTTAAAAGAATTCCCATCTCCCCTCTCCCCATTTTTCTTACGAAGTTAATATACAGTTACTAAATTATTTCTAAAAATGGCTTTCTGAAGGCTAACTCTGAAGAATATTGCTAGGTTTTTTTGAGTTTTCCATTGATTCTGGGAATAATTGCTTTAGTTTTCTTTTTGTAGAGACCTGTCTTGCAAACGCTAAGGCTTGAAAATAAAAAAACCAAAACAAAACTGTATGTGATGTTCAAGACATCATCTCCAAACTATCTTTACATGTTTATTTTCCTCCCTTAAGTATTACCTCTATTCCTTGCAAAGGGGAGAAGGAAAAATATTAACCAATATAATTTCTTCTCCCTCTGCACTTTTTTTTCCTGTACCATTAATCCTATCTTCCCATGTCTTTTTTTGGCAGACTATCCACAATTATCCCCTCTTTAAATTTCCAAACTCTCACTCTCTCTCTCTCAATTCTGTAATTTTTGTTATTATTGCTTTCTCTACAAATGTTTATGCATGAGCAAAAAAAAAATGACCAGTCCAGTCCCGATCCATAACAACAATGTTATGTGCCCAGTCTGCACATGGGGTGATGTGTAAAAGGGGATGAAAAAAGCAAGACCCATCATTTACTAGGAGTATGAGATGGCAGAATCATTGGCTTTTTGTCAAGCAAGTCTTTATTGAGCTTTGTGCTAATATAACAGCATGTTTGTTTTTTGTTTTTTTTTTTTGGTGAGGCAATGGGGGTTAAGTGACTTGCCCAGGGTCACACAGCTAGTAAGTGTCAAGTGTCTGAGGCCGGATTTGAACTCAGGTCCTCCTGACTCCAAGGCTGGAACTCTACCTACTGTGCCACCTAGCTGCCCCAAGATTCAAACTCTCTTTTAAACATATCAGTCTTTCCCATTAAAAAAAAATCTTCACTAGACCCTGTTATTTCCTAAAAATATTTTCCTGCATTTCTCCTCCTTTCTTAGCCACACTCTTAGTGAAATCTGACTACTCTCATTGCCTCCACTCTCTCTGCACTCACTCAATCCTTAAATCTTTCAAATCTGATTTCTATACTTATCATTTAACTGAACTGATCTCTCCAAAGTTGCCAATTGTTTTTAAAAAAAATTTATTTTTTTTCCAGTTACATATAAAAGCAATTTACCATTTAAAAAAAATTCTGAGTTCCAAATTCTGTCTCTCTCTGCTTCCCCTCATCCCTCCTTGATAAGGCAAGCAATTTGATGTCCATTATACACATGTAGTTATTAGCCATGTTGTGGGAAAAAAACCCCAGATCCCCTCAAAAAAAAACCCCCAAAAAATAAAGTTTAAAAAAAAGTATGCTTCAATCTGCATTCAGACTCTTTTCAGTTCTTTCTCTGGAGATAGCATTTTCATAAAAAAAAGTCCTGCAGAATTGTCTTAGATTATTGTATTGCAGAGAATAGCTAAGTCATTCATAGTTGATCATCATACAATATTGCTGGTATTGTGTACAATGTTCTCCTGGCTCTGTTGACTTCACTTTGCATTAGTTCATATAAGTCTTTCCAGGTTTTTCTGAAACCATCCTGCTCTTCATTTCTTATAGCATGATAGTGTTCCATCATGATCATATACCACAACTTGTTTAGCCATTTCCCCAGTTAATGAACATCTCTTCAATTTCCAATTCTTTGCCACCACAAAAAAGCTGCTATTAATATTTTTGTACATATAGGTCCTTTTCTTTCTTTCTTTTTTTAACCTCTTTGGGATATAGACCCAGCAGTGGCATCGCTGGATATGCACAGTTTTGTAGCCCTTTGGGCATAGTTCTAAATTGTTCTCCAGAATGGTTGAATCAGTTCACAACTCCACCAACAGTGCATTAGTGTCCCAATTTTTCCATATCCCCTCCAACATTTGTCATTTTGTTTTTCTGTCATGTTAGCCAATCTGATAAATGTAAGGTGGTTTTACTTTGCATTTTTCTAATCAATAGTTATTTGGAGACTTTTTTCATATGAATATATATAGCTTTTATTTCTTCTGAAAACTGCCTGTTCGTATCTTTTTTCCATTTATTAATTGGGAAATGACTCATATTCTTATAGATTTGACTCAGTTCTACATATATTTGAGAAATAAAGCCTTTATCAGAGAAATATACTATAAAAATGTATTTTCCCAGTTTTCTTCTTTTCTTCTAATCTTGGCTGCATTGTATTTGTTTGTGCAACATCTTTTTAATTTCATGTAATCAAAATCATACATTTTAATTCCCATAATGCTTTTTAATCTCTTGTATGGTCATAAATTCTTGCCTTATCCATAGTTCTGATAGGTAAGATATTCCATGCTCTCCTAAATTTGATTATGATATTATCCTTTTATGTCTAAATCATATACCCATTTTGACCTTATTTTGGCATACAGTGTGAAATGTTGGTCTATACCTAGTTTCTCACATAGTGAGTTTTTGTTCCAAAAGCTTGGATCTTTAGGTTTATCAATCACTAGATTATTATGGCCATTTACTACTGTGTACTTTGTTTTATTGTGCTTCACCTTATGGTACTTCATAGATCCTGTGTCTTTTATAAATTTAAGGTTTGTGGCAACTCTGTATCAAGCAAACCTGTTGGCACCATGTTTTTAATAGCATGTACTCACATCTTGTCTCTGTGTCACATTTTGGTAATTTTTGGAATAGTTCAAACTTTTTCGTTATTATTATATCTGTTGTGGTGATCTGTGATCAGTTATCTTTGATGTTATTATTGTAACTGTTTTGGGGCACCACAAACTACATTCATAAAAGATGGTGGACTTAATTGATAAATATTGTGTGTGTTTTGAGTGCTCCACTGATCAGCCATTCCCCATCTCTCTCTCTCTCTCTCTCTCTCTCTCTCTCTCTCTCT